TTGCGAGATAAAACCGGAAAGATAACTATGTCAATAGAGAATGAACACTGTTGTGGAACTGTATAAGCTGGTAAAGTTGCTGGTACGCGGTCGGTCGGCTCGATATTGGCCCAGACAAAACCGGAAATCTGTGACAGAAGGATCGATATATTTTACGTCACACGTACGTTTCCTTGAGTGAACGTGAAGGTCATTACAAACATCCACGTGTTACCTCGATGGCATTCTATTCAGTCGCGCGACGCACACGTTGCATTTGTGTTTCCACAGAGAACCGTCCTTTCTCATTCAATAAACTGATAAGTTCCGCCGTATATGTGACATTTCATTTAAATGCCGTTGTTACCGAAAGAAAGAAGAACGAAAGAAAAATATCTTTCTCGTGATAATTATTTTCATCTTTTTTCTCGCGTTAATGAATGCAACTTGTAATGTGAGCGGAAAGTCTTGAGACCCGGAAGGAAAATGCAATTTCTTTCGAAAAATACATTGTTACGTTGTCTCGCTTTTCTTTTCGTAAAGTATAATTTGTGTAATTCGTTTGCGGAACACGATGGAATAACAAACAATTACTAACATTTAACCGCGTAACCGTACACGTTGCTCATACACGGTCAACCATTGGTTGCTCGCAGAAATTACGCGGAACTAGACGATGAACGCATCCTGCTCCCTTCTGTGCTGATTGTCGGATATGCTAGGATAGCGTTTTATTACGCGTGGCAAATAATCAGAAAGTTACAAGCGGAAGCGGCGCGCGATTTGTTTCACGAAAGACTCCGCGTAAAGTTGGCAGAGATTCACCGCGCTCTTTAAAATGTCATTAACATTATTTGTCGAAAGTACAGTTTTTGTCGCGCTGTCGCAATTATTTTGCTATATATGATGCTATACCCCATAAATTTAACCGCGAATACCGCGAAATGTGTACGATTTTAAGAAAAAAATACATCGTTAATAAAAAAAAATTAAAAATACACAGTTTATAAAAAATTTGTAACACATCATGTATGCGTCGAACATATGTAAATTCAATTACAATAAGTAAAATACAACGAATTCTATAGCAAACATTATTTATGTAGGGCTACAACCGTAATAATTTACTTTTCTCTCTCTTAAAGAGGACAGAGTATTATTTTTTTACCGTCAGAGAGCCATATGTAGGATAAGGTTACATGCTAGGGCAAAAATATCGTAAATGTAACATGTGTTGCGATATCACGCTCTCTTCGAATTCTATTACAATGTCCAATAAGATCTGTCAGTGCAGGCAAGTTTACGCGAAGATGCGAACAAGAGAACGGTGAATTGATTCCATCAGAGAGTCGGGAATCCTTTTGCGCCGTTCAAGGATAAAGCTGACATTTCAATCGCCTTGTCCTGGATTTGGGTGGTATACCGTACCCCCGGTGGCGGGTTCTCGCCCTCTAGTAATGAAACTAATCCGAATGATATTCGAACCCTTCTCTCTCTCTCTCTCTCTCTCTCTCCCGTTACCCGCTGGTCTAAGACCACCGACTGCGCGGCAATAATTGGCTAATTAAGTCACCCTCACGTTTGTCTACCCTCATCGTCCAATGTCCTGATAATTTAGTCACCGGCTCCGGTCTTTTCCTCTAACACGCAACATAATGTAGGTCAATTGCTGTGCGCGTATCATAAACTGTTGACCAGGCGGATTTATTCGACACATCCGCCGATGGTTTATGGACAGATATACGATCACTGGCCGCTGCTGGGCTTGACGTTTTTTGCGACTGCTACGCGTTTAACGCGTTCGGAACACATTCTGTGTGTCCCGAACCAACAGAGCCATCTTTCATCTACAGGTTCTTTGATTTATGTGGAATCGATTTTTCCACGAAAGAACCAACATTCATCCAATGGCTGGAAAAAAGTTTAAAAGCTTTTCAAGGATTAAGAGATGCAAAAGATATTCCAGAAATGCAAATAGACAATCTTATTCTTTATTAAATTTCCAGTGGACTTGAACAGAGTTTAATTTGAGAATTAGTTGCATGAAAAAAACAATTTTAAATTGTTTATTAAAAAACGGTAAATGTACAATATAACTCGCTAAGTTCAAAAAGCATCCTGTATTATTTATACGTGAGATTTACATTTCTCTTAAATGGTAAACAACGACTTGCGGAAGACGAAGGCGATCATCCTCCGCAAATTTTAACCCTTTATAGATATGTGGGTTAATAATTTCCCATACATTCCTATTATTGTAGCCCACAAGTCCATATATAACACTCTTTATAGTACAAATATAAAATGGTTCGTTTTTTTACATATTTCTTAGCATATTGTGATCTATAAAGATATAAATTAATTTCACTTTAATGCATATATATGGTTATGCTAATTTAATGTATCAGTGATATAAATATATTACAAAGAGAAAAAATATATAAAGAGAAGAAATTTGATTTGCAAAATAATATATAAAGTTAGAGAGAGAGAGAAAGAGAGAGTGATAAATATATCTAATTGTTCTCACGATCTGGTTCCCATAAACACAGTAATTAAGAATTAATTATTTTTAAATGTGGTTTAAGTGATCTTATATCTTTTTTTTTTTTTTTTTAACAAAATTGGAAAAGAGGATGAAATAAGTTTTACATCTAAAAATAATCGATTAGTAAAGATATTTTTTACATTCAATTGTTAATTATTTCTTTAAACAGAATGGTATCACCACGGTTTATCGCTTATTGTTAGTAGGGCTTTGTGGGCAGCTTCCGTTCTCTGCGGACGATCTCTAGCAGACTATGCAAACAATAATTGACAGGAGACAAGTGTGCACACGCAAGTGCTGTGCGTAGGCGGTACTGCGCGTATGATAACGCACATGTCTGTGACGTCTACAAAACAGAATGTTCCTTTTCCCATTGTATTCATCGCGTGAACATTTGAACGAAGAACTTAACGGGAAACATGGAATCCCTACTGTGGTTAATATTGGGAGAACTTTTATCTTTCCAAGCGCGCGCGTGGGATCTACCGAAGTTTTATCACGTCCGTCACATTCGTCCACAATAATGCGATCAATACGCTCATTGATGTGTTATTGTGATTTCATCCAATTCGCGACATGCGATACAATGTCGATATAGTTTCTTCTTTTTCTTTTGGAACAATATGATGATGATTTACGCGCTTGTGATTGAAATTGGACGATTTTGGCGCGTGTACTCCAATTTACCTGGTGTCATTGAATAGCATCAAAATGAAATTCCGCACCTGAAATTCGAGAAAGTAACTTCTCTGTCGACAAAAAATCGAGGAAGCTTTTAAAATTTTGTTTGCTGAATTTTTCCTTCGAATTGAAAAATGTAACTTTAACGCGTCGTATTTTATTTGCCGATTCGACGAAAAATAATGATTAATACAAATCGACGACAGCTGGTATCAGTTTACTCCGCGCGCGTGTGCCAGCCGTGCAAATGCTTACACGCGCGACGCAATCGCCGATGCATGTCCTGGCGGTGTCCGATGCAGTTAGGACATCTCATGCTTACGCGCACGCTTTTGTACGTGCACGCACGGGTGGATACCGTTCGTCGAACGCATCACATCGGAGACAGACACGTATATACATACACATATATACGCACTTGCAGCGATATTATCGGCCGCCTTTACGTGTCGCACGAACACGCGATGGTTATACGTGTGCTCTCGGAGAGACGAAAGGATTCCGCCGCCAAGCTTTTTGCTCGGTCAAGTCGAACAATCCCGCTGTTCCAGCAGCGAGAGGTATACCATTCGCCAACTGAAACGTCAACATTTGGATCGCATGTGGAACCGCGCTCAAATTTCGTTTTAATATCGATATCTTCGTCATTCGATATCGAATATCGAAATAGCTGCTGGAGCATCTGAAATTTTTGCTTTCGTTAGAGAAACATTCTTTTAAAATTGTTAAACTATTCAACACACACGCAGAATCTTATAATCTTTTATGAAAAATTTAAGCTTATTTTTATATAGTTTCAATAAATTAAAGAGCTAGATAATTAAAAATTATAATAAGATTATATTTAAAATCAGTCGATGAGTTTTAATAAAACTAAAATTTAAGTTTTTTAATATTTGTTAAATTATATAAAATAAAAAATAATTAAATTGCGATTTTAATAAATTTTAGTAAAATTAAGCTTTAAATTAAACTAAATTAGTGTATATGGTGATATTATTCGAATGATGGCTGGACAATGATGTCTTTCATTGTATGAATTACACGTACTTAAATTAGCTTATGATTAAAATTTATTGAGTTGTCGTCATCTCAAATACATTTTATCATGATATCTGATGCGTAGATAATATGATATGACAGTCTGTATGTGAAGATTTTAAAACTCTTGCCAGTTTTTACATGAATACATTGACGAATTTAAGTGACATTGTTACGAGATCTATGAACACGAGCTACCAAACGAGTGACGATACGATCGTATAAATTAGTATGACTATTGATAGAATAGAATCTAGTAAAGAGAACTACAGGTGTTTCTCCGATGTCGCAAACGTTTTATTTTTTTGTAAGACAAACAGATAGTCCCTGCATTACAGAATCGGTATTATGATAATGGCAATATCTGGTCTCGCGGTAGTGTATCGAATACAACTAGTTTGATAAATATTAAACGCAAAAACTCTCTCTCTCTCTTTCTCTTTCTCTTTTTCTCACATACTCGATGTTCGAGCGAATTTGCTTTTAATTCTATTTGTTACGAAATTTCTTAACATTCTCTTGAAACAATGGTCTTTATATTATAACTATGATATTGTGTATGAAATGCGTTTGTTGGCGAATTTATACACTTTTCACACACACACACATACACACATTAAATTGCAATAATAATATATATTAATAAATATACATGTGTAAATTTATATTTAATATAAACAACACATTAGGTAAACTTACATAATATTTTCGCTTATCTCTTATGTGATTATTTTATTGCGATCTCTTTTAGGGAACAGACAATAGCTCGAAAATGGGGTTGAAACGACGGCGTAATAAATTGAGCGAGACGTCGATGAAGTAAATCAGCTTAGATTCCGTAAAGAAGATGATGACTGCCATGGCCCGGTTGCCTTGCAAGCAATCGTCCTCGCCCTCGCAGCAGCCGAGAGTGAACAATTTCGGAAACAGTCGGAATCCTTACTGGGAGATGCAGCAAGCTAGACATCCTGCACCGCCGTACGTCAGAAATCATCATCGGCATACCGATCATACAGGTGAAAATCAAGCGAATGCATTGCGAATCGCATCACGAATCGATGCGTCAAGCACTGTTGATGTGTGTATTTGAAAAAAAAAAAAAAAACAATAAACTTATGCACGCATTTCGAATCGCTTCAAAGTCTTGTCAGATGAAACAAATTTCTATTTTGTAGATTTACTAGTGAATAAAAATGACTGGCAAGTTTGTGCTAATTTGTTATATAAAGCATATAATAGAATATAAGATTAAATAGAATATAAAATAAAAAATAGAATATAACAGAAGAGTCTAATAAAATAATGTATGATATAAGTAATATAGAGATAACATATTACTTATCTAATGAAAAGAGGAGCAAAGCAGTTTTGAAGTATTGCATGACTGCGAATTAACTTGATCATTTTTTAGGTCAATTACTATGCGTGGTAATTTCGCGCGTTCTAGTTTTAACATTCTGTTCAATCACTGATTCAAATAGGTCACTTTTGAAGCTATTATTCGCTAGTAGAATCTAGGACTCTAGGAGATAAAAATCCGCTCTTTGTGATTCGAACTCCTGTCGAGCTGGACCCCTCTACCACTCTACCTTGCAAAAATAAAAAAAACAAATAGCGCATAATGAGCTATTTATGAGCTTTCATATCCCGCAAATTAAAAAATTCTGAGCTCATCACACTGCGCAGGAATTTAATACTTTTTGTGTATGTATGTGTGAGGGGGGGGGGGGAGGTGAATCGACATTGACTCAATTTTTGCAAAAGAAGTTACAATTCAATAGTCAAAATGCACATATTTTGCGAGCTTATAAATCAATAAACAATATTTAGTCGAAACATAATTAATCTCTTTCATTTTAAATATAGTTCTCTCTTGTATCGGCGGGATGATTTTTTTAATGAAGGAATTATAGCTTAATAATCAAAATGCACGTATGTTGTGAGCTTATAAATTAATAAATAATATTTAGTCAAAACATAATTAATTTCTTTCATTTTAAGTATAGTTCTCTCTTGTGCCGAGAAGATATGAGATGGTTTTATTGTAAAGAAGTTCAATAAGAAATGCGCATATTTTAAAAGTTTATAAATTTGCAGGATATGAATGTTCATAAATAGCTCATAATTATGCGCTATTTGTTTTTTTATTTTTGCAAGGTGGGGACAGCTTGATAGAGATACGATTCAAGATTTGTGCATAAATTTTTTTTTCTTTTTGTTATAGGTACATATATCCCAATAAAAAATTTTCTGTTCCATTTTTTGGCTTTTGCGACAATTCGGCTTATCTTCATCATTAATGTCCCATTGTGCGAGACCGTGTCACGTTCGATTAAGGACGAGCGCCGATAGTCTGATAGCCTCGTTTCGACAATTTATAGCGAATGTAATGCTGCGATTCGACTCAACAAATTCAACATTGCGTCATCACATATATGTATTCGGCAATTATGATCTACGATCTGAGAATGAGAAAAATATACATTAATTTTCTCTAATCACAATATAACGTCATCATTTAACACAAAAGGAAAAGTAAATATATTTCGTGCACCTATAAAAATGCTTGCAAAAGAAAAAGTATTTTACAAAAGAAAAGAAAAAAGAAATGAAACGTCGTTATCACCCGTCTCGTAAATCGTGTCATTACAAACCTATTGCATTTGAAATTATTGAATATATTATAGATAAATGAATACACAGAGACTATTCTTATTTATATGGGAAACTTAAATTTATTTAAATTCTTAAATTGGGATTCTTTCTTATGTTAATATATTGAAGCTTTTCCATGTCATCTGTGAATCAGTTAAAAAGAATCAGTTGTTCCACATCAACGAGCATCAAAGGAAAGCCCATTACTTTTTACGTTTCTCCCATCGATTTCGCCATATGTACCACATTATAATATATACATATGTAGCCTTGACGTTGCGCTTCTGTCGTTCGGGCTCTTTTTATCATCGCTATGCGTCCCTGCTATTATCGCAGTTGGCGGTTGTCTTTCCGAGGAGAAACGTGTGTCGGGGGATTTTATCTGCCGGCATTCTCCATGAGGACATGTGCGTGTCGTTGGCGGGCACATGTCGTCAATCAGTGGCAGCGCGAACAGAGCGAACGTTCTGCGAGAACCCGCGCGCGAAAACAGAAGGAGAACGCGCAGATGCTGCCGTTCATCCGTTAACACTTGCCCTCTGCCTCTTAACCAAGCGTCCGAGATGTACATACGCGCACATATGTATGTGTCGCAAGATGACGGGATCGGTCGATGATGCCACAAGAATAGAGACCGGGACGCGACACGAGATGAAAAGGAAAATATAACTCTTTTCCATCGGTTCAGAATTTCTCACAGGTATTTACTTCCTGCGGTATTGACGAGATCAATTTATAATAGAATGAAAAAAAATTATCAGATTGTGACAAACAATGATCACGCGAAGAAATAATACACGTATTATTGATTTAATTTATTTGAAATTCCTTATTTCGAATAAAAAATACTTTATTCCGAAATTCTTTAAAAATACGAGCGAATCTACAAATTGATTCTCGCGAGAGCGATTAGCGATTTATATATTTATAAAATATTTTTCTAATTTCTTAAATTTGTTATTTATTAATAGAATTGATTAACAACGAGTTTTTTTTTTCTTACGTGGAAACTGTTTCGTGAATTTCTAGATATCGAGAATATCCGGTTGCGAACTTACATAAAACGAAACTGACTAAATTGCCAATTACTTAAATAAGATTATACGAAGGCGCTTATAATTGGCAGCAAGATTCTATTTCATATGCAATTGCTCCCGTTCGTGTACATCCCACATTATCAGCACTTTACTACATTTTTAAATAAAGACATCGAATTGAATATTAAATAGCTATATTTATGAATTTTTATAGGCAATTGTCTTTCAGAACCTTTTTGGCATTTTCTCTTTATTATAAATATAAAAATAAATAAAAATAAGATAAGCAATTTTAGAATAAGAAATTTTCTAGTTTTCAAGTTTTCGTTGAAATAAGCTTCAAATAAATCAAAAACGTCCATAATGAAATATGATACTTTCGGAACATTCGATAAGCTTAACATAAATATCGGAGATCAAACACTGTTGGGAGTTAATATTCACAAAGATGGTGATCGCTTTCATAAATTCAGCAGCTAGATAAGAACTGTCTCTACGTGGTTTAACTCGACTGATATCTGACCAGAAAGTGATACTTTCTTCCTCTTTTCAGGAAGCAGATTAGTTACGCTGGAGTATGTCACTTATGGTAATCTCTTAACGTTTTTTTTTCTTCTCCATACGTGCTGCAGGAAAGGAAGAGCGAGACCGTACTGGATCGGAAGCAGGAACTGAAAAACAGCGGCCACCTACAGGTTTCGCAGCTGAGCGCTCCCGGTGCACCACCTCCCAGATTATTGCGAAAATGCACCGGCAACTCGTCCGCCTGTCCGATGCAGCCGACGTCGCCGTCGCAGTTACAGCCAACCCCCATGACGCCGCCCTGCTGCTGGGTTTCATGTCACGAACAAGACAGACGTAAGTCGCCGGAGAGATCTTGTAAGCTTAAGGGACATATAAGTACGATCCCGCAACATGTATGTTGTCAATAATCCAGTCGAGAAGAGGCTATATCTCGAAATTTATTACCTTGCGAGAAACTGAAATCACATTTGACATACTTTATATGTCACTACCTACACACATTATAAATTTTACACACACATATATTGTGTCTCTACATATATAAAATATATATAATATAAGAATACAGTGTGTATATATAAAAGCCTCTCTCACACAAAGAAGACAAATTGATCAATTCCACTTATTATGAATTTCTTAATTTTTGCGTCAGAACATATTAGTGTTTTAGTAGTAAGATTAAGAAATTTACAAAAAACGGAGTTGATCGATTTCTGAGGAATTCATAAATAAATATTTTATTACTACTTACGTATATTTATTACTACTTACGCGCTTTTTATAATATAGCACAGATCGTCATAAAAGATTGTTATTTTGCATAGTAGACGGAATCCTGAGTCCTCAACAAACACTGCCACCCGCGCTGCCACCGAAAAGTCCACGTTTGGTTCCGGTTCCCCAAAGACGGACGATTTCAGGACCCCCGAGCGGTACCGGAGGCGATCAATTGCAAACGAAACTGCGTCGGCTATTAAACACCGACAGCAAGGAAAACGTATTCTTTTCGGACAGTCCGCCGCAGAGTACGACACAAAGCAACGGTGTGTCCACAACGCGAGAAGAGAAATTTCGATACTCGCCTGGAAGTCTTTCACCTGGCTGTCGAGACGAGGATCGTATACTGGTAAGAAAGTTGCGATAACGATACCTTTGCCTTGTGTTTTAATATACTATCACTCATCTCTCGTACAGTCATGTCTATATATTAAGTTTTGCGAAGTATTCCAGCATGTGTTCTGTTTTGTTAAGAAAATTTATATATGCATTTTCATCGATAAATGACTGATTATAACGTTATATTATTTGTTTTGCAGCATTGCGCGCCGCAAGATGTTCGCTTCAAGTTCGGCAGAAGCAACTCGCACTCGCACACTTCCGGAAGATCTAATCGCAAGTCAAATAGCTCCCCGTCGGTGGAGAATACGATATGTCACAAGTCTTTGCCAGATCTCCACACAAGCACGCGTCGTCGGGCGTCACTCTCACCACGCGCGTCCACAAAATTATCAGCGAAACCGACTGCCCATCACCAAGCTACGAACACGAGCAATTGTCCGGATTATGAAACTAGTTCGGATTATTCGGATCGCAGTTTTAAGCGTGACTCCGTTTGCTATCGTAGGTAGGTGATTTAGCTTATGAATCCTTTTAGCACGTAATGTATTACCAAATACATTGTATCTAATTTCACAAGATAGCTAATTCCAGAAAACGAAGTAATTAATTAGCGAATTTCTCATCGATTTTTAGCTCCCGCCATATTAGGCGATCTTTGGGATCTGGTGGTGGTGATGCAAGCAGTGTATTATCCTCAGGTGGACGAACGCAGAAATCATCTGGTTCTAGTAAATTGAGCCACGGCGCAACAGCCAGGGACTCTGGTGGTTCCTCTGGACACTGCACTCATCGTAGCGAACCAGCACCCAGAATACAGGTACAAATGAATATATATGTATATATAACATCGGACAATATAATGTCGGAAAACCAAATTATGATATATATATATATGTATGTATGTGTCTGTGTATGTATAACAAAATGCAAAACTATTTAACTTTAATCATTGATCTCTTCCAGGATTGTTGGACTCATATACGCAGAGATAGTGGAGCATCCACACAACATTCCACCGAGAAAGATCGATCGAGGAAAGGTAGTTACATTGGCGGTACACTGCCACCGGTTGTAAGACACTATAGCCCGGATTCTGAAAGTAGTAATAGTCAAACGGACTACAGTCCGACATGTAATTCAAGGTATATATATCTTTCATTTTTGTGTTTATGTAATATATTATAATAATAATTTGATAATAATAAATATAATAGAATATTCATCAGCCATCTGAAGAAAATTGACAATATGTAATATATATCATAATTTGGTTTTCCGACATTATATTGTCCGACGTTTTCCGTATATTAGGTTTTCCGACGGTTGGAAGGAAGGTCGCGGTCGACCGATTCTAAGATCAAAATCGGATATCAGCGATCGATATTGGCGCCAGGATAACGGCCGTTCCAGTAAAGTATCATCCCGCCCTCCGCGATCGATGACTCAACTCGAGAATTTCTTTGACCGTTTAGGACTGGATTCGGATAACTATCAGCGTATAACTGAACCCAATTCGAAGTCGTCGTCGCCCATATTCTTCGACAGTGTTAGCTCTGTAGATTCGGCATTGGGTCTCTATTCCTGGGTCAGCAATAATCAGACAAACCAGAGTAATCAGTGGCAAAACAACTGCAGCATTGGTATGGGTAATGACGAATGCAATCAAAGGGTAAACGATCCGCCGAGTATCGTCGAGCGAAACGCGCGTATTATCAAATGGCTTTGCCAATGTCGTAAAGTGCAGTTAGGATACAGCTAAACAACGAGTTTCTCAACGTGGGTAAATCTTTCATTTCTAATAACAATATATTCGAATCTCAACGATGTAGTACGCTTTTGCCTTCTACAAATGATATATTCGTCAGATACTTCGCATTCATACATTTCTCGTAAATATGGAATTAATTAGTGCTTTTTCTCCTTCTTTTTATTATTTGTATAATTTAACAGTTTTTGTCAATCTTGTATTAGCTGTTTGTAAGAGTACGATTATTATTTTAATTTATTGTGCTTAATAATAGAGATGAATTTGTGCCATTTTACAATTAATTGTTATGGTTATATATGTTGTGCCTTCCGTCAAACTGTGGTTATAAATTCAGGGTAAAGTTTTTGGAACATATTTACGTGATATGCGTTGTCGCACATTAATTTTTATATTAAAATCTGTATAGAAAAATTTCTGGGGATGTTTAATATTTTTGTGAAGGTACATTGAAAAATGTTTGCTTATATATAATATATTTCTTGGAAAAAATCGTTATTAGGTTTTAACATTATTAATCTTGTAATTAGTCTATAGTATGTTATGCGAATATTTTTCCTATTTAGAGAGCAAAGCAATATTAGATTATTACAAAACATTAGTAAAATTGTGTATAAGAAACAGAAAGAGAGAAAGAAAGAGAGAGAGAAAGAGAGAAGTTGGAATTTATTAAATTTTAATATAAAAAGATATAAATTTCACGACGTATATATGTGCTTCTCATTTTTGATCTTGAAAATGATGAATTGGTTTACTAGAAAAAGTACTCAGATGAAAAATATTTACCTCGATTTTAGGAAAACGTACAGATCTAATTTCATAAAAAAGAAAATTAAAAAATGTTGCCTTTATATACATATATATATACATATATATATATACTCTTGATAGTTTCTAAAAATCATACATTTTAAGTGAAACAGCGTTCAATTGATGTTAATATTTCATGAAATTTAGATAATTGATAAGTTATACAAATAACTTGATGTTAAACAATAGACAAAAGAATGATCCCAATTTTGTAGTTTAGTAGGAATTGATGTGATTTATATTAATACTGTAAAATGAAACACTCATTTAACATTATTCTATTTTAATAATAATCTACAAAAGTTATGCTATCTTTACAAAAACTGTGTGAACTCTATAAGTTACAGCAACTTATATGAATTTTAACGCAAGCTGAATTTTGGTTTTGTTTTACCAATATTATTGGACAGAAATTTATTATTGTACTTACAATGTAAATATATAATGTGGACTTTGTTGCATTGATTTGGTAAATTGTAAAGTAACTAATTTAGCCATATTTGATTATGATAATCAATTTTTTATATTTTGTATTTCGAAAATCGCGCACGTGTGCGTAACTATTACATTTTAATAATGAATTAATTTCTATATTTTTACTGGCAGAGAGTTGTACTTATAGCTCCTTGATTATTTAATTTTTATTTTTATAGCAAATATTTAATCACACAATTAATATGTGATGACAATGCACATTTTGTGTAATATTTTACACGTGTGCATAGATTATGATCTTCTGATTGAATATCAATGTATTAAAATATATAGAATTTAATATATAATTATATCTTATGAATAAGAAAATTTATCGGTTTGTATTGCCTGTTTTTTATTTTAAAAACATTTTTACTTTTGCCATATAATAATAAACAAAACAAATAATTTTTTGCATAATCCACTTATAATTTAATTAATGCTTTTAGTTGTCCCTACTCTACGACATGATAGTGTAGGAAATTTTGGATGTTTACAAGATGTTACATGATTATATATATATATATTCTTATAACACGATTTGTGTAATATAAAATAGAATTATTCGTACTTCTCTCATTTCAGGTGATATAGATGTTTTGAATGTGTAATTAACAATTTTGCATAAAATATGGTATAGCACTTCAATAAAATCGAGAAAAATCGATACTACACGTCATCTTTATATAATAAAATATTAGATACATTTCATGCAAAAACAATTATAGTTTAAAGAATTTTTTGCAATGTCTCAGGCACCCTATGCCGACTGCAAAGATTAGAGAGGCTAAAGTAAAAATTAAATAGATTTATTTTACTCTTGAAGCGTTAAGAAAGTATTCTACAATTATAAATGACAAAAAATTATGGAATTTTGGTAATTAAACTTCTGATTTTTATTTAAGATTTAGTTATCAAAATATTGGTTATTAAAAATTAAGAAATTACGCAAAGAGATGGCATCAAATTAATTTCAAAATCGCCAAAAAATCTAAAGTTGGAAGCAAATTTGCGGTGCCCGGGATATTATGTATAAGATATTAGATATTGGCGTAATACAATTAGTGTTATATATGCAATTTCTGATGAAAATACATGAACAATTTATATAAAATTTATAATCGCTGCTGTAATAATCAATTGCAAAGCGTTATTATATAAAATTATGTGTGTGCGTGTGTGTGTATGTGTGTGTGTGTGTGTGTAATAATATTATAAATTTTGAAGTCATATAATTTTATTTTTCATGATAAGAAATATTTAGGCATAATACATATTATACACATATATTGTGGATTTGTACACACTTTAGGATTAATGTAGTGGAGCTGAAAATATTGGAATTGGACTCACACAAAAAGTGATATTGAAGATTACATTAGATTAATTAGAATTAGTTTTGTTATAGATATTAACTTGCATAATAGTTTCTAGAATATACTTGCTCTATAAAAAATTGCTATTATCTTAAATTTTAAGAAGAATATTTGAGAACAATAAAGTTAGTACAGCTAAATTTTGCTTCATGCCAAGTCGAGAAAAAAAGAGAGAGAAATATAGCATAATATAATAAATGACTAAACACAGATATTCATAACGTCACATTATATATATATATATATATATATACACGTATATATGTGTATTAAGTAATTAATTGAAAAAGAAATTGTATGATTCTCTCGTTGTATATTTTCCAACGTTTACAGCTACGCATATGTTTTATATAAGAATTAGTCATTTTCTTATTTTTTAATATTTTAAACAGCATTTTCTCGATTATTGTGCTTTGTTGTTCACAGAGTATATTTTACGAGTTGTTGCAGTTTCTCACAATGCGTTTTTTTTATACCTATAAAAAATCTCATGAAGAGAGTAAGAATATCAAAACAAGTATACTTCACGCATTAGAGGCATGGAGAAAAATAATAATTGAAGGAATTTATATATGATAAGATATTCGAATTCTATCGTGTTTCTCTTGACCTTTTTTAAGCGTATCTCTGTTAAATACCTATATATCTCCATGTTAAAAATTATTATAAAAATTCTTTTATATTTCTTGTCATATCAAGGCTCAGTAATTTTGTATATGTGTAGGAACAAGATAAATTGTTGTGTGATTCTTTTTTTTGTAAACTTAAGAAAAAGAATGCACACTTACATTGTGACATTTCAATGTATTATAACATTTTGTGATGCATAATATTTAATATTGTTAAATCCACATGAATTTCTAATTGCTTTTATAATCTAGTCATGTAGAACAAAATATGTTAAACTTCAAGATAATATTATTAAAAATTCCTTCTATATATATTTTCGAACCTTTTATTTACCATCTCTCCTACTATATTTCTTGCAATAAATTATAAAATTGTTATTTATATTTTGTATCATTATCTTTTAAGTTTTAATATATTAAGAGGAAACAGAATATATAATATATAAAGTATAAGAGAGTTTTTGGAATTAAAATGTTTGAAATTTTGATTTGTACCACACATTTTGTTTAATTATATTAGAAATTATATAAAGAAGAGAGAAGAATATTTTGATATTTCGCTAATTTTTAAAAGTTTTAATTCGGGAGATAGATCGGTGATTGGCTTTTGCTGGTTTCAGCTTATACATATTAAAGCATTGATTCGTGAAGATAATTTTTGATAATTTTTCACGATGTTCTGATCATATAAATTTTATCACATAAATCGATTATTCTACAAGCCTCATTTATTCTAAGTTTTTTTTCCTTTATAGTTCAAAACAGTTTTCTTTTCTAATTAGTACTGCGATGATTTACCTCTCTCTCTCTCAATTCTTCTATTATCCCTCTCTAAAAAAGGCATTTTACTGATGTGGAAAATCTACTTGTAGTCTGACAGATTCTAAGGAAACTTGTATTGCTTTTACCGGTTTATATGTATATGTAATTATTTTATCATGTATATAGATTAAAAACTATTATAAAATAGTATATATTAAATGTATAGATTAAAAACTAAAAATATGAATATATTATTATTATTTTATATCAATATAAATTTAAATAATATTGATTATTATAAAGTATAAAACGATATACTGTATTTATTTGCATACACATATAAAAAAATCAAATATGGTACGACAAATGGCACGCGCATTGCACGCGCTTGAATGTCTAGTTCGCTCTTTAAATTTGTCACATGACTACATTAGAATGAGAAGAAGAAATAAATAAAAGACAAAATACGCAACAATATTTTGATTCAACGAGATTGAAAATTGCGGGAAGACCTTAGAATAGAGGAAATGCTCGCGACCCAGATAATTTTAGAATGGGATTGTTCGTAAACTTTACGATAAACTTACGAATGTTTTTCTTCGAACAATCACGGTGCACAAAATATCTAGATGTCAAAATATGTATACTATAACGGAAATTGATATAATTTGCGCATAATGAAGCATACTTGCCTAGTGTATATATAGTTTGTGGTCACGTTGTGTATCGTGTATCCGAAATGGTGTAGTGTCATTGTGTGTGGTAGCGGTAGTGATGTGGAATTTTGCAATAGTGAAAATATGACGGAAATCAGATCGTTTACGAATCTTTTATTTTCTTTGGTCGTGATAATTCTCTGTATCATATCGCAATGCTTAGCCGCCCTATCTGACAGACAATTATGTTACGACCCGGATTGTTCGGGTAATTGAAGCCATACTTTAGCCTTAAAATTCATAACACATTTTTCTGTATTTTACTCAGTCGCACAAATATTATAACTATTACTATTTTTATTTTATTATAACTATTGATATAACTATTTTTTCTCTTATTTAGAACCCGTTTCGTTAGCCAGGACGACACTTGCTTATGTGGCAAACGATCGTGAAGTAATGTCATTTGGTATTAATGCAGATGTCAAGGTTTTTAGTAAAGGTGCTGGAAAAAGAACAGATTTATGGGGTGTTGAGGTATACTTCCCTTCATATTGAATGTTAATGAAAAGTAAAATTTCCCATTTCAATATTTTTTTTAGATATACTTTTTATTAATAATTTACCATTGCTGTCATTTAGATTTTTATTTCTCAAAAGCATATATTTTTTATGAATATATTTATTCAATAAATATATTTATACAAATATATTTATACGATAAATTTTATTTCTTAAAAGAATATATTTTTCTTATATACTAATCTCTATTCCAGATAAATGGCAAACGTGGATTTGCACCCAAGGGATTCCTAAATGAATATAAAATCCTGCAACGTGAATTGCAGTATGAAGTGCCTGTTTATAAATTTACTGGAGAAATTAATGAAGTTCAACCCAAGAAATTTGAATCAACAACAGAGGAAATACAAAAAACACATCCTTTATTAAAAAATAAATTGCCCCATAAAGATAATGAGGCATTGTCAAGATCAATAAAATCCATAGATGAAAGTATTGTGCACGAATCTCAAGTGATTAATGTAGATAGCATAACATCTTACGAAGTAATAGATGGTACTACATTTTATCCTGACAGTGAGCCATCTATACAGCCTAGCTTTGTGTCTGAA